GTGTAGTTGACAAACGTGTTCCATCAGTTTCAGGTATATATAACATAGTGAACTGACAAGTTTAAACATTGTGCTGTGCTCACTACCGGTGTAGCTACTATCTGCCATGATACAACACTATTACAATATCATTGTTTATATTCCTTATGCTACACCTTTTCTTCCTGTGACTTACTCAGTCCATGACTGGAAGCCTGTATTTCCCACTCCCCTTCACCCATCTTATCCAGCCTCCCATCCCCTTCCCCTCTGACAACCACCACTTTCTTCTCTGTGCTTATTGGTCTGATTCTGCTTTTTGTTTATTCGTTTGGGTTTTGTTTGTTTGTTTTTATTCTTGTTGTTTGTTTTAGGTTCCACATATGTGAACTCATATAGTCTTTGTCTTTCTCAGTCTGACTTACTCTCTAGATCCTTTCATGTTGTTGCAGATGGCATGATCTCATCGTTTTTAATGGTTGTGTAATATTCCATTATATATAGATATCCTACACACACTACATCCTCCTTCTCTATTTGTCTCTCAGGAAGGAGCTTTTAGATTGCTTCCATATCTTGGCTATTATAAATAATACTTCTGTGGAAAGCAGTATGAAGTTTCCTCAAAGAAAACATAGAAATACCATGTGATCTGATAATTCCATTACTGGGTGTTTACCCAAAGAATATGAAAACACTAATTTGGAAGGATATATGTACCCCTAAGGTTTATTGCATCATTGTTGACAATGGTTAATTTTTAAGGACAAAAAATAGAAGTAAGACCCACTATTTACTTAATTATAAATTGGACATAGGCATCTTTGAATATAGTGTGTTTCCATGTACAAGTATCCTGATCTTCCCTTGTCTTGGTATCTTTTCCTAGGTACTCCCTCCTAAGAAAGATGTGAAACCTGGCATGGCTTTCTTGTTTGAACTCTGTCTCCTTCGTGGGAAATACACTTGTTTTGACTGGGTTGTGGGCTGGGCAGCCTTCCATTTGTGTGATAAAAACTTTGATGTAGTAGAGGGAAAATTCAAGTGTCCCCTTCTCCGAGGACATTATGATCAGAGACTCGACAACTTTAGGAAAATGGAAGATTTGATTTGCTTGGACTTGGACCACTGGCTGTGCAATCTCTACTTTCAGGTTTGTAATATGATTTTGTAAGTGGAAAAAAGAATTTAAAATTTTTCTAAAGCTGCTTATTTCTAGCCTTTACCTTACTTTTTATGCTTTGAAAATTTCAACAAGGATCATAAACCTGTTAAAGCTTTCACATTCTGGGCACCTGGGTGGCTTGGTTGGTTAAGCCACTGCCTTTGGCTCAGGTCATGATCCCAGAGTCCAAGGATCAAGTCCTACATCTGGCTCCTAGCTCTGCGGGGAGTCTGCTAGTCTGCTTTTCCCTCTGACCTTCTTTCCTCTCATGCTCTCTCTCTCTCACTCTCTCTCTCTCTCTCAAATAAATAAATAAAATCTTTAAAAATTAAAATAAAATAAAAGTAATCACATCCTAATGCTTTCTTGATGCCGATTAAATTGATTTCTACAAAGAAGGAATACAATCCTAGAATTGGCAGAAATCTTAAAGAAAATTTAACCCAAACTTGTAAGTCATGAGTGGCCCAGAAAAGTCACCCAAATCCTTCAATTCTCATTTTATAATTTGTTGCTGCTGGAGCTGATCTGTCCCAGCAACTTGGGTGTAAGGCTATGATGTTTCCTTATCAGAAGTACTAACTGAGCTACTATTATGTATTGGGCACTGCTTACTCTATGTATACAAATGAGATCAGATAGAGTCTGTGCCTTCTGGATGGTTGCCATTTATTTGATGAGATAGGCATGTATTCATAAAAAAAAAAAAAAAAAACCCAACAATTAATGACCCACATTTCCACAGGATAAAAATGGCCATTACAAAGCTCCCTTTACCACCCATACATACTCCTTAAAAACATGCTATATTATTTACCTCAGAAATTTAAAAAAAAAAAATCACTCCAAAAAACCTGTGGGGATGTACCATTTACTTGTGTATGTTTGGAAATGTATTTTCTAACCAAGTCTTTTAGCAGAAATGTCATTGCATAAATTCATTCTAAGCAAATACCATGGGGGATCCAAAAATAAATAAATAAAATGACAGTATACATAAAGTATAAAGCATTCCAACACAATTTTAGTCTACTTCTCTCCTGTATGTCCAAATTTGTTCTTCCTGATTATGATGTCTTGCCACAGTGCCTGTATCATAAAATGCCTTTTTTTTCTTTTTCTTTCTTTCTTTCTTTCTTTCTTTTTTTTTTTTTTTTTGCTTACCTATATGTTTGACTTTTCCCAATCTGTTTGCTTATCTAGCTAACTGGCTAGGTAGCTCTCAGTCAATCTAATCTAATCTATTTATGTATGTATCTATCTGTCTGTTACCTATCTATTACCATCATCTATCTACCAAAGTAATGGGACTATTAAATATAAACACTTCCAGGAAACACATGCAGTGTTGGGTTAAAAATCAGTAGCTCCATATCCTTCTTTTGTGATGGTCTTCCTATTTCTTACTTATTTGAAGTAGAATCAGCTGGCTTTTTTTTTTTCCTTTTAGCTAAATCCATTAAAATGTTTTGTTGAAATATCATTTTGAGATATTATAGGTTGCTGTTAAGAAAATAAATCTGAATCTAAACCCTAATATGTGCCTTTCTACTTATTCCGAAAATAGTGCCATTCTGAGTCAAATCTGACTGTACGCTGAAATCCTGTAGGAAGCATTTAAAATACCATGGTTAGGTCTTGTTCCCAGAGATTTTGATTCAGTTGTTTTGAGGTGGGTGTCAGGATCAGAAGTTTATAAAAGTTTCTAACATGTAGAAACATGACATAAATGCGTTTGAAAATGAATTCAAAGGAGTTATTGAAAAATCACCCAAATTTTGAAGAAAACTGTAGATAACCCGTAACAAAATGTTTAATTGGTGACTTGAATATCGTACCAAGAAATCAAAATGGAATAAAAATAAAAATAGAATTGTAAAAGAAAACAAATTTTGATATAAGTTTGCTAGCTAATGTGAAAGGCATCTATAATTTTTACCGTTACCTAAAATTCAGAGGTTTTAATTACAGCAAGGAAAGTCAGCAACAATTTTATTTCATAAAAGGTCATCTGGGTAGTACCAGTATTGATTGTAAAGATATAAGCATTTTATATTTGAGATAAATCAGGAAGTGATGTTTAAAATTTACAAGATCAAGAACAGTAGTTATTTGGTAAATAGCTTAGAAAGCTTGATTTCACTAAAATCTACTTGATTTGGACACATTACTAAACTTTTCCTCTTTTTTTTTTTTCCTGATTCCCTTTTTTGAAAATTGGTGAAAAATAATATTATGATTTATTTGTAGAGCCCTCTGGCCATTAGTCATCACAGATGGTTGTAATTGTGTACTGGCTTTCTTATTTGGTAACAGATCTTCTCTCTATATTTCATGGAACGGGGGCTGCAAGGTGAGTCTTACTGATGAGAATAATGCCATTAGTCAAGACAGGATTTTCTGAGCATAAGGCAGAATAAATAGGAATGTATTTGATTCTCTTTCATGAGGATAAAAATGAAATTTTCCTATCTTTAAAACTGATTTTCCTCTTATGTGAAATTCTAAAATATTAGGATTTTTCCAATGTGAGTTTTCTCAAATGCAATTTTTGAACAAGTCAATGTAATTTTTGAGTACTCTTTCTGGAGTCACTCAGATAAAAAAAAAATAATAATAACTTGGAACAGAGAAGAGAAAAGATGGGTGAACCACTAGAACAGAAAAGTGGTTTCTGTAATGCAGCTTTAGAAGAGATGAAAGGAAATAATTCAGATAAATTATGATCATTTCCCTCCCACATCTGTTAGTGGAAAGAAAGTGGCAGGGCATGTGGCTTAGCTGTGACCTCACATAATCTACCACGTTGTGATTAGGGATAGAACTCAGGCTCACACCCGGAACATGGAGACAGGAGAACAGATCTGATTGGGCCCCCGTAGGGTATGTGAAAGAATCCAAGAAGAGCAACTCTGCAAGCAGGATAGCCTTTAATTATTTCCCAAACTCCTGCACTTTTCTAAATATTTCATTTCCTGTGTCATTGATTATTTCCACCAAGCACTTTATTATTAAAATTGTAAACATAGAGAAGTGCTTGGGTGGCTCAGTCATTAAGTGTCTGCCTTTAGATCAGGTCATGATCCCAGGGTCCTGGGATCAAGCCCCACATCAGGCTCTCTGTTCAGCAGGAAGTCTGCTTTCCCTCTCCCACTCCCGCTACTTGTATTTCTGCTCTTGTTGTCTCTCTGTCAAATAAATAAATAAAATCTTTAAAAAATAAAAATAAAAAATAAATAAATAAATAAATAAAATTAAAATAAATAAAATAAAAATAAATAAAATTTTAAACATAGAGAAAAGTTGAAAAAAAATGGCACAACGAACACCCATAGTTTCACCACGAGATTCTACAATCTTGTCTTTTATATTTGAATTAGAAATATTGTTTCTTGGAGACAGTGAATACTGAGTAAATATTTGCCAACTTGATCCTGGTATCAGACAGTGTTACTTGTGAGAAGAAATCAAAGAAAATTATAAGGCAAGACAAAGAAAAAACTAAGAACTATATAAAACAGTGGTAATATCTGAAACAATTATGTAAATCTGCTAATACAAAAAATGCATTTTTTTATAAGGCAGCCAAACACAAGCAAATATAAGGTTTGGAAAATGAAATTCATCATGGACATTTTGGAGTCTGTATATTGTATCATTGTTCTAGGGTGAAATTAACTGTGTGTGCACTATTTTCAACAGTGTAGATAAGAGATTTCTCTCTGAATAGGTTATTAAACTTCCTCTGTGTTTGGATGATCAACAAACCTATGAAAGACAAACTCCACTTCCCCCTGAATTTCCAATTTCTTTAACGGCTGAAGTACAGGAAGCCGAATCAGGTGTGGAGACTACCCTGGGCCTTTCAGAGAAACAAACGGAGGAAAACATTTGTGCATCACTGAATGGTAAGGCTAAACCCTTCCTACACTCTTCTCAGGGTTCGTAGACTGTTTTTAGCATTCTTTTCCTAGTATGTCAAGTTGTGTTATATTGCAGAAAACTGAGAGAGGCATTAATTAATGTATTTCTTACTATGCCATGCTGCGTTACGGCTCTAAAAATATTTTTTTAGTTGTTTGGGGGGACAAGTTGACTTTTTTTTAGTTCTTAGTTCTAGAACCAAGCCTTCTTGGTTGCTTACAAGAGTGCTAACCAACAGATGACTATGAAAGAGAAAATATTCTCAGAAAGAAGTTCTCAAATAATATAGTTATTTTATAAACCTCAGTTTTCAACGACTGACTTAATCAAGCACTAAATAAGCAAATAGCATTCTTTGTATGATTTAATGTATAGAAGTTTCAGCCTACAGAAGGGATATACTAGAAATGACTATTATTTTTTGCAAGATAATTATTTCCTTTACCAAAAGATTCAGAAGATTCTCTAACCGGTTGGATCTCCTAACAGTAATAATAGTGTTAGAAGCAAGAGTAAGGGATGGATGGTTGTAGTAATTATATTATTACTTGTAGTAAAGATAGTAACTCTTACAGTATTACCAGCATAATACTAATATTAGAAGGATTACCACTAATAATAATTACATGTGATGTAGGTTTTTCATGTGCCAGTACTGTGGTAGGGACTATATTCTTTAGTTTGGAGGTTGTCAAATATTTTAAACATACTGTACAGAAAATAACATAACATAAACCAGTAATCAGTACCCAGCTGTATCCATTCTTGCTATTTTGACATATCTTGCATCCTTTCTCCACAACTTTTCTTTTAAAAAGTAATATTTTACATGTGATTAAAGCCTTCTGTGAACTGCTTGCTCATTCTGTTCCCAACCCTCTGAGACTTATTGATCATTCCCATGTATGTTTCATTCACATTTCCTACATATGTATGTAATTATAAACAATGTATCCTCTCTAAGTTTCTAAGATTTGTGTTGAGTAACCATGCTTTATATCTATTTCTGCAAATTCATTTTCTCTCAGTATTATCCTTGACATTTGCACAACTCCTACACACATCAACATGTATTTTTGGTTTATTGATTTTACTGCTGCATAATTGTATACATGGTGATATGCATGATTGTAACAAACTTTATTTTTATTTTATTCATTGTTTCAAGTTCTACTCAGTTGCAAGCAAGATTACAGTGATTACTCTTGGACATGTCATTCTTGTGCACGTAGGTGTAAGTTTCAATAGAGTAAAAGATATTTCCTATCCCGGAGAGGAACCACTGAATCACAGGGCACACACTTTTAAAATTTTTAGCATAGTGACACTTTGCTATCAAAGTAGTTGTATTGATTTGCCCTTCTAACAGCTGGGTAGGAGTTGGTTTGGTTCACATCCTATCAATCTTCGTTATAATTAGTTTTGCCAATTCAGTTGCAATACAGTATCTCTATGTTTTCATGAGACTATCCCTGAATATGACTAAATTGGAGCTTTTTTTTTTTTCATACCTTTCTGTTCATCATGTGTGTTTTATTTTCTGTGAATTGCCTATACCTAAATTTTATTCACTTTTCCTTTGGATCATTTTAAAAACTTTTTCTTATTGAACTGTAAGAGTTCTGGACCTTTTGTTTTTTAATGTGGGATGACTCATGGGAAGCATTTGATTTCTAATTCAATCTTTGATTGCTATTGATTATTCAATTATTCTATTTAATTCATTTGAAAAACTACTTGAATTAAATTAGTCATAGTATTACATATTATGTACATATTATATATAGAAGTATATAATGTGATATAATGTTATATATACATATATTAAATATATAATGTAATATATTACATATTATGTACATAATACATGTATATATATGTTGGTATACATAGTATATTATCTTTAAAGTTTATTTCCTTTTGTTACAGTTTTTTTGAACAGAGAATACACTCAGATTGTTCACAACAAAATCTGCCTCCCACTGCAGACTCTTTCTTCTCCTTGGAGGAAACCAATGTTTTTTGTGTAGTGTTCAATAGATGTTTTATGTCTCTAAAAGAAAATATGTAAAAATACTATTATAATTTTTAATACCACTAAATTTATAATTATGTTCTTCTTTTCATTATTAACATTGGTTAATATATGCCTTTTTTGTTTTTCTTTACCATCTTGGTTGAATTTTATCTTTTTATTCATTTTTTTAAAAGTATACGACTGCTCTTCTACCTCCATTAAGACTTTCTCTCCATTGATCTTTTGTTTTTTGTGTTTATACTCAGCTTTATTATTTCTTTGCTCCTATTTTTTCTGTTTTTTTGGGAGGGAGTTACCTTTTAATCTCCTTGATTGGAAAGCTTAAGTCTTTATCTTCAGTTTTTATTTACCTATGTGTGAAATCATCAGTTCTGACTAGATCTGTCCATTTATCACTGTAGTTCTGTCAAATATTGCTTTGTATATTTTAAATGTGTTGTTAAATGCCTGTAATTTTACAATTATTAACTTTTGTGTTATTATTTCTTTATATAGATGTAGTCTACCTCTATGTTTATGAATGCTTCAATTTATTTTTTTTAATTTAATTTCTTTTCAGTGTAACAGAGTTGATTGTTTATGCACCACACCCAGTGCTCCATGCAATCCGTGCCCTTCATAATACCCACCACCAGGCTCCCCCAACTCCCACCCCCCCAGCCCCTTCAAAACCCTCAGATTGTTTTTCAGAGTCCATAGTCTCTCATGGGTCATCTCCCCCTCCAATTTCCCTCAACTCCCTTCTCCTCTCCATCTCCCCATAATGCTTCAATTTATATTCTATTCCTTCTGATATTAATACTACCACCTGATTTTTTTAATAAGTATTGTTATGGCATATATTATTTTCCTAATATTTATCTTAAGAATTTAAAACTTATCTGTGGTGTTCTTTTGAGTACGGCTTAACAGCATAAATCTAGATTTTATTTTTGCACTCAAGACAAGTAGTTAATATGTGTCTTTTAACAGGTGAGTTTAATTTTTTGTAAATACTATTATTATTGTTATATTGGTACTTGCTGATAACATTAACATTTTTTGCTATTTATTTTTGCCATCCTATTTCTTTGCTTTTTAAAAATACTTACTGAATTTTTCTTTAACCAAAAATAATTTCTTTATTTTTTTATCCTCTGCTGTTTATAATCTACAGATTTTATTGTTAATTATTTCAGATATTATCCTGAATTTTCTCATCTACGTATTTAATTGAAAATTGTTTTAAAAAGTCTAATTTCATCTGATTTTTCTCTTCTCTTCCTGAGCATGATAAGGACTTTTATTATGTTTGACCTACCCAACAAACATCTCCATGTACTCTCAAGTTATTGTTGGCCATGTTTCCAGGTCACTCTTTTATTAAACAGAAAACTTAGTTGTTGTTGTTGTTGTTTTTTAGTCTCAATAGAAAATTAATTTACTGACATATTTGGTAAATACTTGTGTTTCATAGTATTTTTATGTAGCTTTTCTCCACTTTCATTTTTCTTCTTGTTGAAAAAAATTGTTAGTAATTCATTTAGAGTTTGAGTCTGTAATATGGTAAACTGTCTTAGCCTTTGTATGTCTGAAAAGTCTTTATTCTTTTCCCACTTTACTCACTTTTCCTCATTGCCATCATTTATCCATGTATATATTCTAGGATAGTAATAACTCCTTCACTATTTTCTTGTGTGTCTTTTTGTGTCTATTGCGGCTGATGAGAAGTTGATATAAAGTGGGTAGCCAACAAATGATCTTAAGAAGGGGAGTGACTTGGGGTGCCTGTGTGGCTCGGTTGGTTAAGTAGCTGACTCTTGATTTTGGGTAAGGTCATGATCTCAGAGTCCTGGGTCCAAGCTTGAGTCAGGCTCCTCACTCAGTGGGGAGTCTGCTTGAAATTCTCTTCCCCTTTCCCTCTCCCCTCTCCCTGCCCATATGCTCTGTCTTGCTCTAAAATTAAAAAAAAAAAAAAAAAGTAAATCTTAAAAAAAAGAAGGGGAGGGATGTATTTCAATTTTTATTTTAGGTGGTTCCCTCTGGTAATTTTTAGGAAGGTTTATTTGAGGAGGAAAAGTCTAAAACCAGATACGTTTAGAAAATATTAGAGTAGTGTCGGCCACAGAAGAGGGCCTGAATTAGGGCAGTGACAGTAAAGTTGGAGAAGAGAGTTTAAATTTATAGAGTATTAAAGATGTGTAAAAGAATGACTATAGGACAAAGAATAAAAATGTCCCTGTTGCTTGGTTGGATACTGATGGTGAGGGATCATTAAGGAAGATTCCTAATTTTTTAGCATGGCTAGACATGGGTATTAACCAGCAGATAATATGAAATAAAGGAAGAGGGACAAGATTAGGGGGGAAAAAACAAACAAACAAACATGAGCTTGATTTTAGACCTATTGAGTTTGAGATCCTTATGTTGTATCCAAGTTAAAATGTTTAGGAGACCATTGGGAAAGTGGGAGAGATATGGAAAGTAGGGAGGAAGAATGTGTCCCTTATAGAAACATAAATACATAGACTACAGAAGTTGCTAAGTGGTTGAGCTCCACCATGAAGAGTATGTAGAGTGAGGGAACTGTTGGGTTGAGAGTATAGGTCAGGGAAAAAGCAGAGATTTTTGGGAAGAGATATGGGATCCCTGCCATAATGGCCAGACCTAAAGACTGTTGTATTTGATTTCCTAATGAGATCTGCCTTCTTGTCTTATTCTGCCTATCAGCTGGGCAACACAGAGCTTCATAGTCAACTTCTGGTGGTAAATGTTTCTTGTGCCTAGAGTTGCCCAAGTGCATTGGAGATTATGCCTTGCTGAGCTGAGTAAAACTCCACTGAAGGCCATACTCTATTTTTAGAAGCCCTGCTTCCTTCCCTAAGAGCTGGGCCCAATATAAGCCCTGAGCTTCCTTAGTCATACTTGACCTGTTTCCTTGTGAGCAAACTATTATCATCAGCTAATGATAACTAAGATACCATCACCTCCAGATAACTAAATGTCACTTTATAATTATATACACCTGGGAACATTATATTGAAATTTTATATACAAAATTCATAAATATTGAATTATGTCATCTGGTTTTAAACAAATATTTGATAAAATAAATTAGATATAAGATACAGTAGTCCTCCCTTATCTGGTGGCAAGGATGCATCTCAAGACCTCCAGTGGATGCCTAAAACCCCAGATAGTATTGAACTCTGTTATACTACATTTTAGTTATCAATTAGGTACAGGAAGAGATTAACGATAACTAATAATAAACTAGGACAATTATAACAAAGTATTTTAACTAAAGTTCTATGAATGTGCTGTCTCTTTTTCTCTCTGAAAATATCTTATTATATTGTGCTTACCCTTCCTGAGAAAATTTGAGATCATAAAATGTTTATGTGATGAGATGAAATGAGATGAATGACTTCAGCTCTGTGACGTTGTCTTTGGCTACTACAGACCTTCTGACGAAATGTGCATCTGTAACCTGGAGTCCCTTTCTTCCTCCTTCCTTCCCTTTCTCTCTCTCTCTTTCTCCTTCCTTCCTTCCCTCTTTCTTTCCTTTTTTCCTTCCTTCCTCCCTCCCTGCCTCCTTCTTTTTCTTTCTTTCTTTCTTTCCTCTTCTTTTTTTTTTCTTTTTTCTTTTTTTTCCTCCCAATGCTTTAGTATTAAGCATGGAACTCAAGATCTTATTTTAGAATTTTTAACTTTTGAGAAAGTAGCTTCTGACTTAACAGTGATAATATTTCAGTGATACTGACATTTTAACCTAGTTTTAGGATACTGAGCCGAAGACTAGAAGCAATTACTCTTAGACCATTTTTCATCGGACCATTTTTGCTTTCTAGTTTTTCCTCAGGGTACTGTGGCTTTATTTTCCACACCTACTGCACTGTGCTCTGAACTTGGCTTTTCAAATGCTGTCTGCCCTCAGTTCCCCTAACAGGAGGACAGGTGACACTCCAAGCAACATGAATACTGGCACAATCAGTATGAGAATGCTATGTACTGGAAGAGAAAGAATCTTTCTGCTTTAAGACAAGTCTTGGAAAAGGCTGATTTGCATTTGCTCTGCTCTGAGTTCAGAAACTGATTCCAGCTTCACATTCAAAGACTGCGCAGGGACATTTTGCTCCTATTCAGAATAGATTTATACAAAAAGAAAACATACAAATCTCTTCAAATACATGTCTCTGCTACACTGCTTATATTTATTTATTTTTCTTAGCGGCTTCCTAAACATATTATTAGCAGTTAATATCCCCCATGGGTTTGTTTTCTAATATATCAGGGCTGTGCTACAGTACTCTGTTTCTGCCACTGATATGTTGCTAAGAGATTTAATAATGGGTAAACAAACACAACATGTGGTAATTCATTTCAAATTAAAAGTTTATTAAACTCTGGCTTGATGGCTTTCTGGCTATTTACAATTAAAGGAGCAAACCTTAGGGAAGGGGTGACCACGTGATGTGTTCGTGGCTGCAACGTTCCTCTCTGAAAAATATGTTTATGATCTTCCACAAGCTGTCCCACATTGATAGGCTCCATACATAATCTGCCGAATCTACCCTAGTCCCCAAATCATGAAAAAGTGACTAATGTTCCCTGCAAGTGCACACAGGCTTACACACACACACACACACACACACACACACACACTCTTGAGAGGATTCTGAATTTAATCCCAAGGTTGATATTTTAAGTGATGGTCAGCCTTGCAAATAGGTGGATGCCTGAGGCCAGAAAGTTATTTCTGAAAGGCTGGAAGAAGAGAGCCGCCATATAACTTTTGGGTTATTACCATCTTTTAAGGCTGTTTTACTTTTTTAAGGGGCAGTCTAGGGAAATATTTGTTATGCTTGATAATTTTGTTTTGTATGTGCCTACATTGCATAAACAATGGTCTCTGGCAACATCTTTCTATGTTTCGTGATGCAGAATTCAATTCGGGAGAGTTTTATTGTGTAACCACTGTCAACAAAGCACGCTGCTAAATGCTCTGGGAATACAAACCAAAATAACATGCAATCCTTGACCTGTGGGGGCTTACTTGAGCCCAAACTTACTCTTCCACTGAGAAATACACACACACACACACACACACACACACACACTCACACTCACACACACACACTCACAAACACAAATACACATACACGTTGAATAGGTGGTGGGGAGGTCTACCAGCACTCTATTTACATACAGGACCAGCAAACCTTCTGGGACAAACTTCAGACTTGGAGAAATGAAGCAGATGCAATTAGTTAGTTAGCTAAGAAAGAATAGGAAGAAAGATAGGTGAAAGTGGAAATGTATGCTGTCTGTCAATCAGACTTGTTCTCTAGCTCGGTTATCTTACAGTGGAATTCCCAGGGAGAGGGGGACTGTGTGGAAATACTCACCAGCCTGCTGAAATAGAGAAACTTCTCTATGAAATTATGTAAGACATGGAAGTATACAGTATAGTATAGTACATACTATTCTGTGACACATTGAGTTATGTTATCTACATATGCTGTGTTCTCTATACTACAATTCAGTAATTCAAGTTGTTCCAGAGCCCACCATGGGACAAGCTAAGAAGGCAGATAGTGAGCTCATGCAAAGTGACCTGATAAACAATCAGAAACAAATGAGTGAGCTTTTGGAGGCAGGTGAATTGCATGAACATTTTTTTTTTTTAAATGCAGTATATTTTAAATTCTATATTGTGGTGATCTGGAAAATATGTGTTAATTTCACAATTTTGACCTGGGGTTAGAAAGGTAGTTTGGAGTTCAAAAGTCAAGCATTGATGGAAATGCTTTTGGATAAAAGAATAGCCATAAGAAGAGTTAAGAAGTCAGAATGGTACAAAGTATATTTGAAGAACGATAAGGAACCATAGGATTCCAGCATACATACGGCGGTACATTTGGGCAAAGCGTAACTGAAGGCAAGAAATCCAGTAAGAAGGCCATTGCATCAGCCCGAAGAAGAGGTGGTAAGAGCTAGAGGTAGGATAGTGGCGGTGGAATGTAATCAAGAGGGTTCATTTAAGAGAAGTGTTAAACTTGAGTCAACAGGATTTGGTAGACAAATAGCTGCACCATAAAAACAAACACATAAACAAAAAACATTAAAATTATAGTCAGGAGATTTCTATCTCAGGTATCTCGGAAAATAGTGTTGCCTTTATCAGAGATGAAGTACCCAGAGGAGCAGGTTTCAGATAACAGTTGGCCAATTGGTTTTGATCAAATTAAGTTTAAAGTGTTGGGGAAATTAAGAAGACTGTCACTAGCTTGGGGTAAAAAAAAAATGGATTTAAACTCAGGAGGGTCCTATGGGTGTCATCCTAATAAGGATGGGGCCCAAACCACAGCACAAAGAGTGGAAAAGCTACAGGAAAACCTTAATTTAAGGGATGGATGAGAGAAGAGGGTGAAACAAATTTCAAAGGAGCACTCTGAAGAAGTAGAAGGACCAGGAGGTGTGGCATCATGGGAGCTATGGAATTTTAAGAATCTCATGAAGGGGAGAGGGTGGTCACATCAGTAAAATACTCTGTTACAGCATTACTCAAACTTTAAATGCACACACATCACCCAAAGATCTAGTTAAAATGTGAGTTCTGATTCAGTAGGTCTAAGATGGTCATTAGACTCCTCAGCTCCCATATGATTCATATGCTGGGAAGACTGACTCAGGCAAAGATGAAAAGACAGCTTGCTTTGAAAACAAAGTTCATTTTGATGCCTTTTGAGGGAACACATAAGAAATGAGGGCACAAACCAAACTGCAATGACCAGAGGAGGGAACAAGAAGGAATTAAGGCAGTGCATATAGAAGACACTCTTAAAAATGAGAAGGAAAGAGTTCAACAGCAACTTAATGGAGTCAAGGGTTGAGGGAAGATTGTATCTTTTTTTTTTTTTTTGTAATGGCTGAACACTTACTCCTCTCTTAATAAACAATGGGAAAATACCTGCAGGAGGAAAAGTCAAGAATGCAGGAGAGAGGGAAATTGCTGGGATGAGTTCCCATCATAAGTGGATAGATGGGAGAGGTGAGTCCTGGGAAGGAGATAGTATAATTCTTCCTCCGAGGTAAAAGAGAAAAGAGAAAAAAGCCCAATAGTTTAAACAAATTCTCTGATATTTTCTACGTAAGAAAATATAAAAAAAAACAAGCAACAATAGCAACCTTTAAAGAAAAAAAATTCTTTGTGAAATTTAGGAAATGTAATAAATCACTGAGAAACAATGATGTTATTTGAAATTCTAATTTCAAGTGTCTTAATCTTATTAAAACACTTTCCCTTCTGGCCCCTCTCAAGATAAGCTACAGTTTTCAAAGTTGCTGGAGATTTTGGCCTCAGGACAAAATAAGGATAAAAATGGCTCTGATACCTTCTGGAAAGGCTGAGCCACCCAAGTGTAGAAAGCACCTACTTCGAGAGAATATGCGTTAATTGTGGCACTCATTTTTTATACAGTGTTATTAAGAAATAATGGGACCACGTTTTACTGCTTCCAGATGGGTCAGTGATATAGGGGTCAGATAGATGTTCTCCAGGACTCCGGAGAACTGGCTCAAGTTTAACACTTCTCTTAAATGAACCCTCTTGATTACATTCCACCGCCACTATCCTACCTCTAGCTCTTACCACCTCTTCTTTGGGCTGACCCCCGGTACCATTAGAATGGTACCATGTATCCAAGAAGCCCAATCCAAAGAACCTTTGAAATAATAGATTTCCACTCTGATATCTAATTATTTTTTGCTTCAACCTGTGATCCTATAAGGGTACTCCATATTCCTTTGTCAATGGGCCACTCATCCATCTTGGGAAGTGTATTTCTTTGGGAGTATAGATAATTGGATGAGTCCATTGTCTCTTGCTTCCTAGAGCTTACTTATCAATGATTATAACATAAATATTATCATATATAAGAGGAAACAAAGAACCACTAATTATTCTTACATCATGTGCCATATGTATTGAAACCAATTAATACTGTCATGAGCCTTTTAAAAGCCATTATAAACTAGATCACTCGAAACTGACTTAAAAAAGTTAAGTCCCACTTGAAATTAACTAAAATGTTGATAAATCCTGAAGGAAGTCTATTCATACTAAAATATTAATTTGCCTGTATCTGTGGTTCAAGAAACCTAATAAGAATAAGGCTTCTTACATCTGCCTGTACATTGACTCTTCCATGGAGCTTTAAACAAATTCTCTTGTCTAGGCTCTGCCCCAGAACAAATGGATCAAATTCTTGGGGTGGGGGGGGAGAAGGACCCAGACATTGTTATTCTTATAAAAACTCTGGTAATTCTAATGTGCAGCCAGAGTTGAGAAACATTGATGTACAGCTGTTGATTGTTCTGGTTTTCTTCAGTTCCTACAAATGGAGCAAGGTGATTTCCACCTTAGGGCACACGTTGGTGCTATTGCCTCCAATCATAAGAGTCTTCTCCTGCCTAGTTTTTCCTTCCTGATAATCTAGCTTTCCAAAGAAGGAAGGCCCTGTGCAGTGCCTCCACTGAATTCCCCAGAGTTCTTTCCCTTCGTAGCAATTATGACAGACTCTTGTCTAGTCATTCCGCCACTGTCCCTGGCAGACAATAATTGGTCAGCCAAGATTTGTTAAATGAATGGGTAAATCAATGACAATTGATTGGAGGGGAGAGGGGGTGAGGGGATGGGTAAACCTGGTGGTGGCTATTAAGGAGGGCACATATTGCATGGAGCGCTGGGTGTGGTGCATAAACAATGAATCTTGAAACACTGAAAAAATAAAATAAAATTTAAAAAAATGACAATTGTGGATTAGCAAAGCCAAGAAATGCAAAGGAATGGTTTTCACTTGGCTATCACACTGTGGTACAGGGAAAAATAATATGGACTCAAGGTCCGAAAACCAGTATGAATCACAAGTTTACTATTCAGTAAACTTGAGTATTTGTGAAGATTTGTGAGGTACTTTCCTTATGTATATGACATAAGACTAGTAATGGCTGAATTTTCTACTTGCAAGTTTGTGGGGAGAGTCAAATAACGTACTAAATGTTCTAGTAATTCATTAATCTTTTAATTTGAAACTGTTCTCTGTTACGCAACAGAAATTTTAGAGTCCTCTCCAGCTTTGGTTCCTAAAGATGAGAATGAGGGAGGAGGTGGCCTAACTATGGTGTGTACTGCAGCCTTACTTCAAATGAGACTCCCTGAGAGGGACTTTGAAACAGATGTGCTCTTAGATATATATATAGGGCCTCCCTTCATCGCTAGAGATGAAGCTTTGAGCTTCTTCTCAAAGCATGAGATCTGTGTCACCTTCATGCCCCTATTGACTTGACTAAGTCTTAGAAAATGCATTGGTGGGTATTAAGGAGGGCACGTATTGCATGGAGCACT